ACTTTAGATATTGGTCCCTAGATTATGTTCACCAAGTTTCATGCAGATCGGTCAAACTTGGAAGAGATCGATTTTAAGTGTTTTTCAAAAAATTCTAAATGGCAGAAAATCTGTATAACTGGAAGTTATGGGTTCTTGAGGCAAATTTGTTCCTCATGAGGAGAGGCATCTCTGTGCAAAGTTTCATGTCTCTACGACATACGGGGCATGAGATATGCCCATTCAAAGTTTGCAATAGCGCCCCCCTTTGGCCAATTGATGTAATATTGCTTCATTCGCATCCTCCCATGACCCTCTACCACTGTGCCAAATTTCACATGGACTGACCAAGTCAGTGAGGAGAAAAACGTGGAACAGACACACAGACACACCCACAGACAGAGTTTTCATCATTGTATAGTAAGATAAAATTACAAAGCAAAAGAGTTCATGACTGATGTTTAAAGCCACTTGTCAACATGACATTAAAATGAATTTAGAACTCAACCGTGCAAAATAACTCAAAATATATCGCGGAGCATCAAAGCGAAAATGAATGTGGAAATACTGCAACATCATCAGTACTGTGCTGATAAACAAGGAACTTACAACGAGTTTAATGAGTAGCTAAATGACCGATAGATGTGCTTCAGTAACTTGGCGGAGGTTTGGTAACTGGGTGAGTCATCGACCTGACTGTGGACATAGCTGAAGGTTGCTCCTTTCCAAGGAATCATAAAACTAATAATCATTTATGAAGCACGCCTTGTGGACACTAACCGATTTATTTTTACAGTCAGAGGTATTTGTTTATATAGTAAACAACTGCAGTTTACCTTTATCTCCACAAAAAGGAGATAAAGGTGTAATAAAGATAAAGGATGTAGTGTAGGCATCATTAACGTCTCGTGTACAGTGTGGTTCTCACAAGAATTGCAAGGACTAATAAATAGACACAGCTGCTATTTACTGAATTGCCTTGTGTATGAATGTTTGTTTATTTGTAAATGTCTCTTTTTGAACTCTGTAGATTTGCAAGCATTGCTCTTGCAAATAAAATATTAGTGGCCCCCACCTGCTGCATTCTTAGACCTCTCTGTGTAGAGGTCATATAAGGTCAATCCTTGTGCTAAAATCTTGAAGTTGGATTTCTGTAACTTGAGTGATCTGCAACACTTTAAATCAAGCTAGTCCACGAAGTTATCATATAGTTTTTCAGTCCAGAACAAAAAGGAGACAAAGGTGTAATAAAGATAAAGGATGTAGTGTAGGCATCATTAACGTCTCGTGTACAGTGTGGTTCTCACAAGAATTGCAAGGACTAATAAATAGACACAGCTGCTATTTACTGAATTGCCTATCATGTTATCTTGATTGTTTTCTTTGTGGAATAATTCTGATATGATTATATAAAGTCAACTTGTAATAAAACTTTATATCTAAATTATTTCACATCGCTCACCATGACACAGTTTATATAACCTTACTGAATTAGTCACTGCTCACTACTCACCAGTGAACTAATCATTTCCATGACCTCAGATACTCCTGGCGCGAGCAACAACAGGTTGAGTCATGAGGTCAGCAGACCGACACAGACTTTATCATCCATATTACGTACTGCAGTGGACTTTGTTTAACTTACCTTTGCCCTTAAACACAAGGGGAGATCCACGTCATGAGCGGGGGCCTTATATCCTTCTTACACCATTCATGAATACAGTATTTCACTTACATGAAGTAAAGCTGGGCTTGTTTTTCATAAGGGAAGCACATGCCATACAGTTACTCACTGTGGGCATTATCACACCGCTAAAATATTCTGGATGTGCCTGGTACAAGGAGATACATAACTATAAGAGAGCGTATCTTCAGCAAATATTTGCAGACTGACCTTGTTGACAGGCATAACTCTGTTAAGAAGTGACACGACCTAATTTTTTAAACTTCTTTGGAAAGTAAAAAAACAAAATTGCAATGTAATATGTGTAAACACTGAAACATAACCCAGTCTGTTTAGTCTAATTGGTATGAGCTGGTATGAAATTCAACAGTCCAGCAAAAATATGTAGCTTTATTGATAATGTTTGATTGGAATCATCAACATGTGTTTTATTTACAGCTCACGAGGTACCAAACAGGCAAACACAGTTTTACATTAACATACATTTTGTCACAGGTGTACATTCTGGGGGAGATGCAGGGGACACATCACGCTACAATATTTAGAATATAGACATTTGTAGCCCCCAAAGACATGAAAGCAGAGGGCTTTTGTTTTGAAGAAATCAAAGACATTTCCATCATAAATTGATGCAGAAAATATTCACGTGCACAAAAAAATTACCAGAATGCAGGAAATTAAGTTTCAAAATCGTATAACTTGCTTAAAATTTGCTGGGGGACAACCTCCAAATCCCCCGTTCCATATGTGTCCCCCAAATGTTGAAACAAAACCTACACCCTTGAATTTTAATGACTTTAAAGAAGCTGCTATTTAGTTAAAGTTAGACAGATATTTATCCCAACAGAGGGGGAATTTTCAGGTCATTGCATCAGTAAATGAATAAACAACAGAGTACAGAGAATAGTGCAACAAGTGTCAAACACAACTACTCATATAAAAATAAAAGTATGCCCTTTTAAGCATGTGCATGCATACAAGTGTGCAAACTGCAGTAAGGAATCTGTGATTTTAATTAAATTCATATTTATGAATAACTTAAAAATACAAAATACAAAAACTACATGAAACTGATAAACAACTATAACTTACATGCAAACAAAGTACCAGCACACCTTCATGCACAGGCCTACTTTTCCTGACACCAAAATATCCCGACAGTGACAGCGACAGCGAAACATGTGGCTCCAAAGAAGAAGAGGGCGGAAGCAGCAGAAAAAATCTTTTCGGCTGCACTGGGCTTCTTCTGAAATTCAGAGGTGCAGTGGAGATGAAACACATTTTTTACTGTAGCACATGAATTGTTATGGTGCAGACAGTTGTTATAACAACATATGAAACATTTATTTATTAATGTTATGTCATGTCATGTTATGTCATGATGTGGACAGACTCACCTTTTTTCTTTGTCGCTTCCAGCTCTCACTGCTTTTTAGACTCCCTGCAACAGGAAATGGTGACAAATATTGTTTTGTTCTTCATAAGAATCTATACTGTATTATATTATCATTTATGTTCACACAGTGCTATACAAGTCATTCACCTGTTTTGTTTCTTCCCAGTATTGTGTTTCTGAGAATACATCTTATGATAACCCAAATTACAAACAGGACCATCCACACTGTGAAGGCGATCGTCACTTTCACAAGCCAGGAATCTTTCCTCTTCTTTCCACAGCTGTCATTGTCCAAAACACTAACAATGATGACAGCAACTGTGTGTGAAACAGATTTAGAAATCAGAGCACTGAAGTGGCAACAGCAGCTCGCCTATTTGAAGAGATGTTGCCAGCTGTGACATTGATTAGCTTGACTTATTTTAAGGCAGTAGTTCAACATTTTGAGCGATGTGCATCTTTGCATTCTTGTTGAGATTTAAATGAGAAGAAACCACTCTCATATCTGTCTGGTAAATATGTGGCTACAGCCAGCAGCTGGTTAGCTTAGCATTAGCCTAAAGAGTGAAAAGTGAGGGAGTTCTGTCCATGCGCTAGCACTAATTAACATGTTATATCGGATTTGCTTAGTTCATTTAAAACTAGTCCATACCAATTGGCAGCTTTGTCACCTTCTACCTATGCCAATCCTCAATGCCTATGTGCAGTTTCACATAGATTGACCACGTCAGTGAGTAGAAAAACGTGGGACAGACAGAATGACTGACTGACAGAATGATACACTGACAGTTTCCGTGATTATACCATGACTTAGTCATAACAAAAATTAGAAAAAAACAACAACATTGGGCCACAGGGGGAGCCACAGCGATCGGTCGCATTTTACCCATTTGTAAGCATTTTTCTGTTGTTATAGCGCCACCCAGTTGCCAATTAGAGTTACATTTCTCCAGTCACCTTGAGGCCTCCTGTTCTACATATCTATTAAGTTTAGTAAATATCGATATGGCGGTTAGGCCTAGATAAGAAATTAGCTCTCTAGCGCCCCCATTTTGTTTGATGGGGTCAATAATGGAGGGGTCCCCTCAGATTATGTGTGGTCATATGCCTACAAAGTTGCGTGGTGATGGGTGAAACCCTTGAGATGTTATACACCTTTATGTGATGAGCCACGCCCTCCACAATATTCATTGCCTTATAGAAGCTCAATTTTAGTAAGTTTTCCAACTTTTGCCAAGAGGGAACTTTAGATATTGGTCCCTAGATTATGTTCACCAAGTTTCATGCAGATCGGTCAAACTTCCTAGGAAGAGATCGATTTTAAGTTTTTTTCCAAAATTTCAAAATGGCGGAAAAGCTATATAACCGGAAGTTATGGGTTCTTGAGGCAAATTTGTTCCTCATGAGGAGAGGCATCTCTGTGCAAAGTTTCATGTCTCTACGACATACGGGGCATGAGATATGCTCATTCAAAGTTTGCAATTTCAATTGGTTGCTATAGCGCCCCCCTTTGGCCAATTGATGTAATATTGCTTCATTCGCATCCTCCCATGACCCTCTACCACTGTGCCAAATTTCACATGGACTGACCAAGTCAGTGAGGAGAAAAACGTGGAACAGACACACAGACACACCCACACCCACACACAGACAGAGTTTTCGTCATTATATAGTAAGATAAAATTACAAAGCAAAAGAGTTCATAACTGATGTTTAAAGCCACTTGTTATATATCTTGTCAAAATGGCATTAAAATGAATTTAGAACTCAACCGTGCAAAATAACTCAAAATATTTCGCGGAGCATCAAAGCGAAAATGAATGTGGAAATACTGCAACATCATCAGTGCTGTGCTGATCAACAAGGAACTTACAGTGAGTTTAATGAGTAGCTAAATGACCGATAGATGTGCTTCAATAACTTGGCGGAGGTTTGGTAACTGGGTGAGTCATTGACCTGAATGTGGACATAGCTGAAGGTTGCTCCTTTCCAAGGAATCATAAAACTAATAATCATTTATGAAGCACGCCTTGTGGACACTAACATGACTGTACAGACAGAGTTTTCATCATTATATAGTAAGATCAGCAGTGTTTAACAACAAACTGTTAATAAATAAGTTTCAGGGGTGCTGGTAGGATGATTCTGTCACCTTTGGACAGAGCCAGGCTAACTGCTTCCCACTATTTCCTGTCTTTGTGCTAAGCTAAGCTAACTGGCTGCTGGCTGTAGCCATTAGACAGAAGGCAGTGAGAAGGAGAGCTTCTTCGTTGGTGTATTTGGCTGAGCAGCACGAAAAATTCAAAAGCAGACAATGATGTGTGCAGCTGCTTGATCAGCATAGGACCACGGCGGGGTGATACAGCACACAGATCCAACAAGAGCCCAGTTTGCTTTTCTAGTACATCCACAGTTAGTTAAGTGCATACTTCTGCAAATTTGGGCAGATGACCCACACATACCTACATGTCCACGCAAACTATGAATTGTCCTTAACTCTCAGCAAGAATGCAAATAAGTATATTTCTCAAAATGTCAAACTATTCCTTTAAAGACCTTCTCAAGTCTTCTCGCAGAGAGAAGTCAGGAGTTAAGTTTACTCAAATGCTTAAAATCAATTTCCTTACTTGTAAAAATGCTATGGATGACAGAGCACCCTTCGACTGTAATGTCTGAGATCTCCTTCCTTGAACAGAACAAAAGAGAAACAAAAACAGTTCTGTGAAAAGTACTGATGTAAGGGTCAATTCAAATGTTCAAGCAGAGGAAGAGGAGGGTTTTTTGTGATCAGTTGTTTATTGTTTGTATAAAGGAAGGAAACCACCACTGCAGTCATACAAGTGACAAAAGGTGAAGTGTAATACCACAGTTCCCCACCATTTCCCCTGTTCTCCTTCAACTAACCCACTCCACCCCCACGCTCTATGCCAGGGGCATATTGCTCGTGGCCCAGAACCAGCCCGCCAAAGGGTCCAATCCGGCTACTAGATGACTAGACTAAGAGGTGCCAGGTTTCAGCAGCAAGTTCAACAATGTGTTGCCTGCTTCATGTGAAATTCTGCTTCAGAGGCTTTTCCACTCCTACCAGAACACAGCTCTCTGATGTAACAATGAATACTTACTGTGACCATATTTAAAGATTTTAAACATTGTGCAAAATATTGTCAATCAGCAGCTTCAGTTTAAAACAATCTGTATCAGGAAATGTATGGACATGTAATGACAGTGAGAAGTGGACTCACTGAATGTGGAAAAACTGAGACATACTGTTGAAATTGCACGTATTTTTCTTAAGACATCTCAGACTGTTCGTCTGTTGTGTAATATACTTGTAATTCTTTACACAAAAAAGGGAGAACATTAGAGCTGATGTTACTTATACTATAGGTTATTGTGCGGTGGTTTTTATTGGTCAGGCCCATCTAAGAGATGAATTAGAATGAGTTTGACACATCTGCTCTATGCCCTGATATGGTGAACCAAAGTACACATGAGGCAGAAGAAAAGAGGAAGAAAAAAAATTAAAAAGCACGTATGCATGTACCTGTGTGCACACAAAAACACACACAAAAAAACCCTCCACCAAAACAAAACAGTACAACCCACCCATTCCTCACAACCCCCCCTCTGTGCTGCTGCAGAAAGCCCATGACCACTATCGACATAAACCAACAGCATTTAGACACAAAAGATTCACATTATTGTGCTGATTTCCTCCTTAATCCCTATTGCATGTTTTAAAGTATGTATAAATATTTCAATTGAGTAAACAGCAAAGCAAGCAGGTGAAAATGCATAAGAACATGACTGAAAAAGCCAGTTAACCACAAATATTTATAGTAAAACACTCATTTTCTCTGGTATCTTCTACCTGCTGGTCAAAGCTACAAGACGGAGAAGAAGTTGTACTTACAGTTCATGACTGGGTCCAATTGGCAGACAGACGATTACCAGCTCCACGAAATTTATTACTATCGTCACACACACAAGAACAAGGAGAATGACCTAAACATGCCCACACACACACACACACACACACACACACACACACACACACATACACACACATACACAGTTATTTCATACACACATCGAATATAACCTCTTACAATACAAACATTTGGATAGAAATACACATTTGTACACCACCTATTTACTTACTTTAATGGGCTCAGCCAAACAAAACAAGACCAGGGCTGATATCTCAATTGCTGCACAAAGCAGACAGCATGATATCTTTAATCCCTACAACACAAATAAAGTGTCAGCCATCTTAATAACTCCAAATAATTAGTACTGATTTTGTGTTTTTGATTTTAAAGGCAGAGACACGTAAGCAAATGACACTGACTGAGCCTATGAATGCCTTAGAGCAGTGGTTCCCAACTGGTGGGTCGCGGTCCATTCTGAATGGACCCTCTTTACACTAAAGAAACCCTATTTATTATATCTAATTTCTTTTAATATATCCACTGAAATCTCACACACTTTTTAATTCTGTAATTACTTCTCCATATAATTTTAATTGTTAGTAGCGGGGTCTGCCATTTCAGCACCAGATTCAAATTATCTTCCTATGCATGAGGGAGTCACAGGAAACATTACGAGACTGCGGGATGATGACAACCAAAAACAGTCACAACAGCAGCACAAGTTCTCCAACTCATGCCTTACCTTATTTGGATGAGAACAGAGGCTGTTAACGAGGGTGGTCATGGTCATTAATATAGTAGGTAGTTCCTGATAAGAGAGAGAGAAATGAAAATGAATAATCTGGCTTTTTTTTTTGGCAGGACTATGTGTAATGACATCTACTGGGTGTGACATGAGTTTTTAAATACCGTACCATTCTGAGTAGCACCAGCACGCTTCTGAAATTCATCACCGAAGTACCTACTCCCTGAAGAAGTTAAGAGACACATTAAAGAGTTGTGTAAATAAAGATGTTGAAGTTTATATATTAATGCATAGATTTGGCACAATGTCAAAAATAAATCAATCAAGTCCGCTTTTGCGTCTGTCCTTACCTTAAATAGGTCTAAAAGTCCGGGCCTTTGAGTGGTCGTGCTTGGTTCTGCAGTAGTTAGATTTATAGTATTAGAATCAGCCTCACTTGTACTACTTGATGTTGTAGTACTTATGGCAGTACTTGGCATTGTAGTACCTCTTGTAGTACTTGGCTTTGTAGTCTCTGTTGTAGTACCTGGTGTTGTAGTCTCTGTTGTAGTACCTGGTGTTGTAGTCTCTGTTGTAGTACTTGGCGTTGTAATCTCTGTTGTAGTACCTGGTGTTGTATTTTTTATTGTAGTCATTGGCGTTGTGTCATTCGGTGAGGGCGTGGTGGGTGAAGGTAAAGTGACATTAAAATTCACCATATTCCAGAATCTGCTGAAAGACTCAACAAATGTGACTCTGAAACATATCAGACAGGCACAGATGTTAACGTTAATCATTTTGCTCAGGAGAGTATAGTAATCTTGACTTTTGGAGGTCAGTCAAAGTGTATGAATACCTAAAATTGATATCTGTGATGTCTTGTCCGCCTGCCGTCCAGTTAACATGAATCAAAGTCTTTCTTTGATTGTTTCTTTGAGAAACAGCCTGGCCCTGAGGAGAGAGACACAAGTAAAGAAACATCCACATGAGGGCTTGATAAGGCTTTAATCTTCAATTTCCACTTCATGTTCGTTTCAAGAGTTTGAAAAATGAAGCCAGTACGGAAGTGCCGAAAACTGCAGTTTTTTGAATGCTTGCTAGAGGCAAGTTTATCCCCATAGACACCCATGTTATTAAAATGCCCAACTTTACAGCAGAAATAAACACGTTTACAGCCTGATACAAAAGATTATGGTCTCTACATGTCATTTCCCACTTTCACCCCGTTTTATTAAGACTTAAAGCTACGCGTAATTAAGGGTAGACCACTTTTGATAACAGGCTGTGTGCCAATAGTTTCCTCAATTTCTCAGTCAGATCCACCCCTTGCTCATCCACAGCTCAATCCTTTTGCCCAGATATGGTCACCTCTGGCTCCCAAAACTAACCAAGATGGCGACGGACAGATTGTCAAACTTGAGGCTTCAAAACGGGTGTCCACAAACCAATGGGTAACGTCAATTAAAATCGTTGATTAAAATAGAAATGAGAAATGTGAATCTTCAACTAATCAATTCAATGCGCATTTATTACCTCTAATCATTTTGAAATGGAATGGTTACTTACTGGTATATTATGGCATTTCAGGAGTCGAGTCTTATCAGATTCAAGCAAGATGAAATTTCCAACAGGATGTTCTGTGCCGTTCGTCCAAGCCTCCAACATAAACCCCTTGAACTCTGCAGATTGTTTTCTTTTGAGAGTCACTGGACAATGGTTTTAAGGTTCATTAGTGGGACAGAAAATGTAGACAGATAACCTTGCACTTGGTGAATAACCACCGCAACAAAGACTGATAAACAAGCTTTCAAGAAAAGGGATCCAGTAGTCTCTTTACCTTTGATAGGGTCTCCCTTTTGGCTGTAGGTTAAAGTCATCGTAAAGGGCAGTTCAGTGTTCTGAGGTACATATTGCACCCCATCTCTACCCCTGTGGTTAACGAACATATTTCCACATGAATCTGGGAAGTAACCATTTGCGTACCCATGCACTTTTGTGACGACGTTAAGACCAATCAAAATCCACAACCACATCTGTAAAACAAAATGTCATTTTCATTAACATTAACATGCAGTCACTGGGGATTAATACCTGGGGATGGTGACATCATAATACATACTGAAGTCCCCCAACTTTTAAACAATGCAGTACAGAGCAACAATCCCCACACTCTTCATCCAATATACATGTAAACACTGTAAGATTAAAGTCAGCTCTTCAACTTTGTAGCAATTGTGCAATTGCAAATGCAGTTTGCTAGAATAAAGAGTCAACAATTAATTTCTTTTTGAAATAAAAAAAACATTTAAACAGTATGAGGCCTAAAGGTAGTTTAGCATTTAGAGATCTCTCTCACTGTTTTGATCAAATTCACACTTGGCTTTATGGTGCTGTAAGACCTCACTGGTAAATAATTAACAATATACCCATAGTGACAACTCCTTTTCTCTTACCTTAAAATATTTGTATACAGTGTCCCATATCATGAAACCACAAGTTAAGATGTCATACAACCAAAGACACTCAGAACTTTATGGTTAAGTCTCTAGAAAAGTAAAGAAATCTTAGGAATGTCTCTGAAGAAAGGGATCCTGCCTCCTGGACAATCCGGCATGTAGTGTGTGTTAGAGAGAGCAACATAACACCTCAGCAGAAAGAAGGAGGAAGTTAGAAAGGGCAATCTAAGTGCACGGCTTGAACCCACCCACTGGACAGCTAAATTATAAAGAAAATACAGCTTCCCTTTGCTGCGGCTTAGACCTGTGTCTCAGAATATTCTCAGGGTTTGAGGGTTTCCCAACAGCATCCAGGTTCTTCAAATGCTCTGGTCTAAAACTACTGCAATCACTCCACACAGCACAGATCCGAGTCTGCAGTGCTGGGAGAACAGCTGTTGCTTGATGAATGCATCAAATCAAAATAACTGTGAATTCAAAATCAATCCATAATGACACAGAGAAGTGCTGTTAGCTTCTTTCCTTGGAACGTAATATAGAATATGCATGTGCTTTGAATTTAAATGTCTATTTAAACAGCCAGGACGTTTTTGTATTTTTAAGTATTTGTATTTTGCAGTATTGTTTCAGTCAGTCAATCAGTCGATCAAACTTAATTCAACACAAAGTGCTTCACACAATAATACAATAAAACGCTAGGGGAAGGGGACGGGAAAGGGAAGAAGCTACAGGGCCCTGAAATGCAGCACCTCCAGACTGAGGAACAGTTTTTAACCTACAGCTAATCCTTTATCCTTTATTTATCGCATTTTAATGTGTGGGTATGTGAGTGTGTGTTTGGGCAGAGTGAATGGAACAGTTTTTTCTTTTATTAGAGTAAACTAGTCCATACCCATTGGTAGCTTTGTCACCTTCTACCTATGCCAATCCTCAATGCCTATGTGCAGTTTCACATAGATTGACCACTTCAGTGAGTAGAAAAACGTGGGACAGACAGAATGACTGACTGACAGAATGACACACTGACAGTTTCCGTGATTATGTACAGCATACCATGACTTAGTCATACCAAAAATTAGAAAAAAATAACAACATTGGGCCACAGGGGGAGCCACAGCGATCGATCACATTTTGTTATAGCGCCACCCAGTTGCCAATTAGAGTTAAATTTCTCCAGTCACCTTGAGGCGTCCTGTTCTACATATCTACCAAGTTTAGTAAAAATCGATATGGCGGTTAGGCCTAGATAAGAAATTAGCTCTCTAGCGCCCCCATTTTGTTTGATGGGGTCAGTAATGGAGGGGTCCCCTCAGATTATGTGTGGTCATATGCCTACAAAGTTGCGTGGTGATGGGTGAAACCCTTGAGATGTTATACACCTTTATGTGATGAGCCACGCCCTCTGCAATATTCATTGCCTTATAGAAGCTCAGTTTCAGTAAGTTTTCCAACTTTTGCCAAGAGGTCCCTAGATTATGTTCACCGAGTTTCATGCAGATCGGTCAAACTTCCTAGGAAGAGATTGATTTTAAGTGTTTTTCAAAAAATTCAAAATCTATATAACCGGAAGTTATGGGTTCTTGAGGCAAATGTGTTCCTCATGAGGAGAGGCATCTCTGTGCAAAGTTTCATGTCTCTACGACATACGGGGCATGAGATATGCCCATTCAAAGTTTGCAATTTCAATCGGTTGCTATAGCGCCCCCCTTTGGCCAATTGATGTAATATTGCTTCATTCGCATCCTCCCATGACCCTCTACCACTGTGCCAAATTTCATATTGATTGACCAAGTCAGTGAGGAGAAAAACGTGGAACAGAGACACAGACGGACACACCCACAGACAGAGTTTTCGTCATTATATTGTAAGATTTCATTGTATGTGAACATGCAGTGACAGTAAAGGCATTCATTCAATCATACCCTCATTCAGAAACACATGTGAAAGATAATTTTTTATTCTATGGTAAACATGAGGGTAAAGAAACCTGTCAAATGCAGTTTTAATAGAGAATTTTGCAACTTCAGTGTTGCCAGTATCACATCACTATAATCCTTTTGGTCATTTTGAAACATTTTCAATGCAAGTGCTACTAATAATGTCTCAGCAGAGTCAACTGTAAGTATAATAATGATCACTCTGATCAATCAGGAAGTTCTTCTGAAAAGTTGTGCCCAGAAGTACCATAGAGCGTCCATTTCCTCGGGAATAAAGACTACGCCTCAATCTCATCCATTTCTGCACTAAAAGTCTTTAAGCACACTTTATCTGTTCCCTCCCTTTTGACTCTGTTCTCACATCCCTCACCCCCAAAACCTCTTTTCTATTTTTCTTTTTGCCATTATCGCTCCCCTTTCTCTCTCCACAGAATACAGGGATCACCGGGAGGCACTATCCTTTGTGGAGCAGGTGATGAGATGATTCCCACATTCTATCTCAACCTCCTGGTTCTGAGCTTCAGCCTGCCTGCAACCCTAATTTCTTCCATCATTCCCTCCACCCTCCTTCCTTCCCTGTCCCTACATCCCCTCATCCCTCCATCCCATGACCCTTATCCCTTCATCCCACATCTCTCAACCCTCCTCCCTCCATCCCTCAACCCTCATCCCCATGATCCTTTATACATAATGAACTAATTGCAATCAGTGACTCTATTGGCATGGGTTTTGTTAGTGAAATTACTTGTTGCTCTTTTTATGACATTTAGTTATTTTTGTTGCTATCTTCAGTGTGTTTGATGTTAAATGTTCTATCTCAGGTTTAACACTTTACTCTTGTCCACAGGGAGAGGTGTCTGATGAAACTTAAATGTGTTTTATTGATCTTTAATGTTGAACACATACATTTGCTGTTAATGGACATTTAATTCAGACTCAATTTACTATTAATTGACATCTCAACCATTTGGCAGCGGCTCATAATAGAAAAACAAAACATGTCGTCAGTTGAAAAAAGTCAATATCGTCTTTATTGCACAGAGGGAATAAGAAATGCAAATACATAAGAGAAAACTTACTCTCACAAAAATGAGAGTGTGTATAATATTAAATGAACTTCATAATAAATCATTTTGCACTGTGAACATATATTTACTAAAATGGCTCCACTTCCACTGTGACTGATGATATTATTTTACATGGCCATAAAAAACATAGCATCCTTTCAAAGTGCTGATAAATAAACATATGGAACAATTCAAGTTGCATTGCATGTAAACAAATGATGAAATTTAACACACACAGACACAGCCGTAAACACAAAAAGTCAGAGTTGAATATTGAGTGCAGCTTGCTACAAATTTTACCAAATGCACACTGGATTTTTGCAGTGCAGCAGGAAATGCAACTAGTACAATGATCCACGTGAGAAGTTTCGCATTTTAACCTGCTGTTCTTCAACTGTACTTTGGCAAATGAACATTCGCTGCAGCAGAGACTTCAAATGACTCCTAAACTTCACACCAACAAATGCATAAAAGACAGGGTTCAGACAGCAGTGGGAGAAAGCAATGAGCCGGCACACATAGAACGCATAGTCGAGGTCTATACTTGCATTACAGTCATCAAATGGTGCAACCAAATTGTCAGCCATGATCCTCAGAAAGATGACCACATTGTACGGCACCCAGCCGAGGAAGAACACAGCAACGATGCAGAAGACCAACTTCACTGCTCTGTTCTTTGTGTGAGATCTTGTTCTTGTGATTCTCCTTAGTATTTGAATGTAGCAGAAAGCCATCACTGTAAAAGCAACCAAGAAGAAAATATTCTGTTGGGAGATACTGATGTTTTTCCACAGGGTAGAATCATATTCACAGCCCAGGGACTGTGAACCATTGTGGGGAATCGAGACCAGAGAGCTGTGGAGCAGGGAAGGCATGGCTGCTCCAATGCTGATTATCCACAGTAGGAAAGACACAAAAATCCCAGTGCTGAGTTTTGGTGTGCTCAGGTCAGACAGAGGGTGGACCACGGCCAGATACCTGTAGATGGTCATGATGGTCAGGAAGAGGATGCTGCTGTAAAATCCAGTGAAGAAGACAAAAGTGACAATTTTGCAGAGGGCCTCTGAAAACAGCCATCCCCAGATGTGGTAAATTGCCCAGAAGGGGAGACCGATGGTGAATACGAGGTCAGAGATGGCAAGGTTTAGGATGAAAGTGTTGGTGAGAGACTTGAGGTTTTCGTACATAGCCAGGATTACAAGGACAAGGATGTTTCCCATGAGACTTAGCATGATCACAACAAAGAAGAACACAGGAATGAAAATGGATCCAAATTTGACCACCTCAGCTTTTTCGCAGACTTCATCCTCGTAGTCAGTGTCATACTGGCTTTCATTGAAAAAGTAATTCATTGCTGTTTAACTGGATCCTAGAAAAGGAAAATGGGATTAGTATATGCATTAATGTAAGTTCCTTCTATTCATTTCATTGTTTTAGGCAAATCAACAGAGGAAAAAAAGAGTTATAACAATGAAAGTATTTTTCCAGAGAGGTTGCACTTAATGTGGAAAAAAAAACGTAAAAAATGGACCTACCTCTTGCTTGATGGGACTGATATGCTGCTGGATGTGACACCTTCTGACAACTTAAGAGAGAGCTCGACAAGGAGTGGCTTTCATAACCCTGTGACAGGCAATGATTTCTGTTCCTATTTCTGTTCCAGTAGCCTGACCTTTCTGTCACAGCTCAGCTGAATTTGTTGATGTGGCTGTTTTTGTGGTCTGAGAATGGAAATTTTCAACTTTCTCATCAAAGAAAAAAAAAGTTTAGATCACACAAACTGCAAAATATCAGGATGTGTTCTGCCTTTTAGATTTCATATTCACTTGAAGAACTTCGCCTAAATCAAATTCTTAATGGAAGACACATTTGACATGGCGGACTTTGGGGTCCTCCATCTGAAGATTTTGAGCCTTTTCTGCATCAAGGTGTTGTAAATGTCTTTAATTTTGTCAAAATAAAAATGCACAAGTTTTAAATACTGAGAGGGACGTGTCTCAAAAAATGGGGAAGTTTAAGGAAACCACCTGCATGGCTGTATACCACTAGAGGTAAGGAAAAGGATGGTGTTTTGGTCTGTAGGATGAATCCACACTTTAAGCGATGCATAATGAAACATAAGAAATTAGATTTAAAAGGGGTACTCTAGCATCCCACATTTACCATAACGCAACCAATAGCATGTTTTTTCCCCCGTTAAAGGTTTTTTTGGGAGGAGTTTTTCCTTATCCGCTGTGAGGGTCCAAAGGACAGAGGGATGTCATATGCTGTAAAGCCCTGTGAGGCAAATTGTGATTTGTGATATTGGGCTTTTCTGATGAAAAGATGCTTTTCAGTTTCAATCAATCTCATTTATAAAGCCCAATATCACATTGGGCTTTATAAATAAGATTGATTGAAACTGAAAAGCATCTTTTCATCAGACCCTCCTTGCATGGTAAATGCTCGTGTCTTTTAAAATCCAGGCCCACCAGTTTGTGACACAAGCTTTTTAAATTTTATTAGTCTCCAAGCTCAAAATGAGGTTTCTGGTGTTTTACTGACTTGACAAAGCTCACCCAGAGCCACAGAAAACATTTTGGGCAGGATAATTTCATTAATTAGATTTTTAATAAATGTTTTAATAATTGTTTGAATTAATTATCTATAAATACAGTTTTAAATTATTATTGAAAATTAATTTTAATCTTTTAGTCTAAAATCAGTTGCGTTCCCCTTTAAGAAATCAAGCCTCAGTAAAACTAATCAATGATCAAGGGTTGTTCATTGTACCACATTAAATGTCAGGGTATTTCACTTGTATTTGTCACACATAACGTTTACAAATCATAAAAGGCAAAAAATGTTTTTAAAGAATTCTTTTGTGGTGTTTGGGGGTGCAGCTGCATTAAATACACTTCAAAGACGTGCAACAAACAACAAAACCATAGGAAAGTAGGACAAGCATTTCTGACTGTCAGTGATCACATGACACCTCTGTTTACCCTGGTGCGACAACCAAACCATCAGCTTCAGGGTCCCGCCTACCAACCTCATAGCCATTGGCCGGAGGGCTACATGTCGTCCTGTGATTGGATAGTACAACATCAATCACGTCACTTTAAACAAGTTTGTATGCATACATAAACGATTTGGATTGTTATGGACTTGAGTCATATCTGTAAAAGTATGTCAAAGTTATTATTCTTTTTTTCTTATTTCACCAGAAACTACCTGGAAACATACTACATCATTTAAATTATCGTTTCTCGGTGATGTCACGGTTATTTTCAAAATGTCTGTCAGTCACAGCTAAATATAAGGTTACGGTGACAGCTTCAAAAAGCACTTAAGTCGTCTGGAGTAGCTTTAGCTTTAGCCGTGAGCTATATGTTATTGTCTTTGTTTTTTTGATATTATAAAAGTAATATTAGCGCTGTAAGAGCATGTAGCTAGTGTTGTAAAACTGTTTTCAAACTGTCGAAACCCAACTGACGTTAACTTGGTTAAGTTAGCCGTTAGCTAACAAAACTAATGCTAAACAAAACGTAGAGTGGTTGTTAGCTAACTTTACTACTGTGTGGATGCGTGTGTACTCAAATACAGGTTGTTCCTGTGCTTTGTCAAAGTGTAACTGCTTTCTTAACCATTATAGTTAGATGTCATGCAACATACTCATGCATGCTTTGTGTGCTTCCTCAGTTTACCCGGAGTGAGCACCTGTACAATATCCACTTACCAGAAATACCTGCATTAAATACTTCCTCTGTGAATTTTATAATGTTCAGTTTAGATGGATGTTTATCAGAGAGATATTGCCTCAACTTCATGTTAAAAATGACAGCCATAATTTTGGGAGGTTGGTGTTTATGGACACCGTGGTTGAAGCAGCATCTCTCACAACAGATTCTGTGCACACCACATGCAAACCAGTAATCTAATATACAGCATTTTATAATGACTGTTACAGGAATGCATTGACTAAGTTTTGCACACTGCATGGTTATAGAAAAGCATGGGAATTGTACATTTTTCAACTACAGTATATGTGTCTTTCCTCATGGGTAAAGAAAGTAGATTTTAGTGACGGATAACTCTCACTCTTGAGAGATAATACTTGATAAGATTGGCATTTAGGTTGGTCTGTTTTTACCAGTATCCAGCCAGGTAATTTTCCAGGACACCATACTTATTTGCCTTCAAATATGGATGGTTTAACGATGCGTTACCAACACGCAAACCAAAAGCTGTGTCCTGATCCAAAGTTCAAGAAGTAGGATGTTTGCCCCGTTTGTTGCTGCTACATTGATTAAATTGCTATGCAACCCCCTGCCCTTTTGGACCATTACTCTTCAGTGACTGAAAAAACTCTCAAATACTCATCCCTGTTCATAGCTTCATCCATAAATTGTTAAAGTTCTTAATGAGCATTACGAAAACCAACATGCATTGTTCTACAGTAGAATAATAGATGGTCATCAGGAGATCAGAATGTGTAAACTGACTTAATTTATTATACAGATCATACACTATCAGATGCAATTTACACAACATGAGATCTCTCATATTGTGACACACATTTGTGTGTATTGAGTGTGCCCATGTGTAGCCATGAGAGTACAGTATGTTGGAGCATTCGTGTCAATCTTTTGTTCCTGACTGCTTCTGATTCTCTGATTCAGCAGACTGGATGTGACCCTGTGACCCCTGGTTGCCAGGGAGAGAGAGCGGTGGGGCCATGGCTGCTGGGGCTTCGGTCGGGGAGAGCCAACTCCAGAGGATTATCCGAGATCTGCATGGTACGCCAGCTTTATGTGTGTGTGCCTGCCTGTGTGAGTGTGTGTGAATAGATTGGCTGCAGGCGGCTGTTGGCTGACATTGTGTGACTGGAGAGAGGAGAAAGAAGAGACACGATGTCATGACCTGAGTCTCAGCATCAAGTCTTAATACAATCTTTACACCTGGAATTATTTGACCTCTCTTTGTCATCAAATCGTTTGGGAAAACGTGTACCTGACCTCATGTGGCTGTAGAAAGGGTGTGGTGGCAGCCTCTGTCAGCATGCAGCGAGACAGAGAGTGCGTACTGAGGGTGCACCCGTCACGGGTGTCCTTCCAGTTTTTACGATGGATACGAGGCAAGTGGTTGAGAGTGGAAATGGAAAAAAAAATGTTTAGAGATTGAGGCACCAGGGCTGTTTGTGTGTGTAACCAGAATGCACCAAGAGGTTAAAGTATTATAGCAGTGCAATTTTCCGTTTCCTTTGATTCCTTTTAGTCCATTTGACTTTGGGTCATTTCTAAGAAGATAACAATTTTCTGCCTTTTTCCTCCCAGCTTCTACCCTTAATATTTACTAAATGGAAACTTGCTGTTATTTTTTACCCAGAGCACATTTTTATATCATGTATGTATTAGTAAGAAACATGTCTTTTGCCATATAAATGTGTTTTTCCAATGTAAATATATGCACCACATTTGTATAAACCCTGTGTCATTTATGAGGGATATTTTTTCACTTTTAAACTTTGTGAATTTCAGAGGCTGTTGCAGAGCTTGCAAAGGAGTACAGAGAAAGTGGAGAGCCAATCACCGATGACAGTACCAACCTGCACAAATTCTCCTACAAACTGGAGTACCTGCTACAGGTATGATTTAGCTCATATTGGCACACCTGACGCAGTGAATCTCAGTTACTCAAGGATGATGTTATAAATGACATCACCAAAAAGAATCCATGTTCAACATTTTTATTGGTCCAACTGTATCTATATCTATCTTACAGTTTGATCAGAAGGAGAAGACGACATTTCTCGGTACAAAGAAGGACTATTGGGAATACTTCACTGAATGTCTGGCTAAAATCAAGGGTGCCAATGATGGTATCCGCTTTGTCAAATCCATCACTGAGGTATGAAGATGTTTTTATTGTTGTTATTTACAGTGACACCACTAATATAGCACTAATTACGTACTGATCATTGATAATATCAGATAACTCCTTAAACCATTAGATAGTAGTTGTATCTGTCTGTTTCAACCTACAATGACTCAGTAGGGTTTTTACTTCATCATTTTTCTCATCTCTTATAGTGCAGATGTAACACACATGAACTGAAAGAACTTGTAGTGTAACTTTGTTATATTGCTGCTTAGAAATCAGAGCATCAAAAATGTGAGACCCAAGTCACGTCCAAGAAATCAGTTTAATTTTTGAAACTGATGTGTTACATCCTTGTAAATGTAACATATAAGAAACATGTGATTTTAACAGATTTTTTGTTGATATTCTTTCTTCTTTTAATTTAAAAACAAAAAACAAAATAGTGTTTGTTGCATTTACAATGGCCCCCAACTGCATCTTCATAGTGTTACTTCTTAGTTAATTTGTTACATGTTACTTCTTACTTCATTTAAGTTAAATAATGAATCCTTATTAATTTTGTAGTTTTTGACACATCAGATATCCCTGCAGTTTGAGTATGAAGTTTACACTGTCTAAAGGGTTTGTTTAAAACAATGTTTTCTTTTGCTTTGATAGCTGAAGACATCTCTGGGGAAAGGACGAGCATTTATCCGATACTCCCTCGTACATCAG